TCTTTGGCCAGGTTTTTGTTCTTTGTTATTCAATTCTGAAATGAGCCAAAGCCAGTCTTCTTCTTTCTTCTCAATTCTTTTGATTGCATTTGTTCTGCTATATTCGCAATCAAACTCTACTTCTATCTAACTATTTCTATTTCTGAATACTTCTTGTATTGATTACATATATTTGTCTTTGCTTAAGATACCTTCTAAGTTTGCGACTCTTTCTTCAGATGTATTCCCTGGTACTTTGCATGCATATGCTTTTGCAACAAATGATTTATCACCTTCACATATTCTGTTATTTGGTGACCACATGCTGCATTCTATTGAATCGCATACTATCTCTGCTAGCAAGTCTTGTTGGTCTCTTTTTTCTATTTCTTATATCTCTTTTCTAATGCTTTTAATCTCATCTTTCGCAATTCTTTCTATTGGTGCTTCTTTATCTTTTTTAGTTTTTTTCACTTCAATACCTTTCTCTTTAAGCCAGTCATATGAGCTCGCATCTGAGTCTGATATTACTATAATTTCTGTTTGTTTGTCTTCCTTTCTCTTACTTTCAGTTTGTTGTATTGGTTCTTCTGTATTTCTTTCTTTCGATTCTGTCTTTTTTTCTGGTTTTTCTTCTTGTCTTCTTTTTTTCGATTCTTCTATTTGCATATTTTCTTCGTCTTCTATTTTCGTAATTCCTTTTATTTTGTTACTTCTCTTTTCGATTTCTTCTTTGTTCATTTCGGCCATATATTCAATTGACTTTGGGTTTTGGCTTATCTATCTGGCCTTATTTGCCTACTTTTCTATTTGGCCTTCTTCTATTCTTCTGCAATCAGCTTCACTTAATGCTATGCAAAATCTTCTATATGCAATTAATTCTGAGTTTGTGATCTTGTCTAAATCTTTTATTGTTAAACTTCTTGCTATAAATTATATATTATTTGGTACACTAACTGACACTTCTTTAGTAAGTTTTTCTAGTTGTGTATCCATCATGTATTTTGATGCTGCTGCACATCTACTCTCTATGAAGTCATAAAGGATCATCTTTGCTATACTGCGTTATCTATTAATTCTGTTAATAATCTATCTTTACTTATGTTGTTTGATAATCTAATCTAATTTTCTGAAAGATTCTATTGACAATTCTATTTGTTCTTTATACATGACTTTGTTGTTGTTGTTTTGCTTTGCACATGTGCTTTTATTTTGTTTTAGCCTATTCAAGATGTGTTTGATTATTTATGTGTCTGTGTGACTATCGATGATCTGCATTTGGGGTCAGACCAATATCTTTTTTTTTCTAAAATTTCTTCGCAAAATTTTGTTTTTCTTAGATAGCTTGCTTTGTACAAGTTTCTCTTTGCTGCTTTCTAAGCTTACTACTTGTTAATTTTGTTGCTCTTTTTCTTTTGTTAGAGTCACTTGAGATGTTTTCTATAGCTTTTGTTAAGTTTTTGTCAATTTTGCTTCTGCTTGTTTTTGTATCCAAGTGATCGTCAGGGTGAGTTGGGTGTAAAGTTTTTTTTGTTATACACTATAATGGTAATAAGATATTAAAATTGGTCTAGTAGTTTTTGAGAAATTTTTAAAAAACTTTTCACTAACAAATAAAATTTCTTTATTTTTTTCAAGAACTACCAGACCAATTTAATATTTTTACTACCATTAGATATATCTTGATAAGCTCTACAATTTTTATTAGAAGCTCAAAAGTAATTTACTTAGTAAAAAAAAAGTTTTAGATAGGAGGACTCCACATTTAGGCCTATAGTAAAATTTACTTATAAAAATTTGTAGATCCTCTTTGGGTAACTGGCAAATCACCAATTAAATTAAAAAAATAAAATAAATAAAAAATAAAATAAAATATTAATAAAAAAACATTTTTTCTAATTAATCTTTATACAACTCTCCCTGACAATCATTTGTACTAACCTGTTACCGAAAGCAAGTTAAAGACTTATATATGAAAGTTAATAACAACTGAAGTTTTCTTAATACAAACTGTTGTCAATAAAGTCTTTAAATATAATATATTAAGAAGCAGGCATTTTGAACAGTTTACAAAGAGGTCAAGTCTTGTTTTCTGCTATTTCTTGAATAAACTTCTCTTTGCATTTGATATTTAAACTAGAGGAATCTCTGAAAATAGTAAGTAAAAAGAAGACTTAAGTTTGTTTGGAGATAGAAAGCTATGAAGAACTCTTGAAAAGCTCTTTGGTTAAAAAACTTACAAAAACTTGATATCTTCTTGACATCTTTTGGCTTCAAAATTTTTAACAAAAAGTAAGGATTTGATAAACACTTTTCAAAAGTTTAGCATTATTTACTACTTCTATTTTGAAAACTAGATAATAACAAATCAGTATATATAATATAAATAATTATAACAAGTTTTTAAAATTCTTATACTTTGAATAAAGATATGAATTTAATAGAGAGAGTCAAGCAAAGTATATTGAGATATAAAACTTTGTCTCTTATATATAATTTTTAGTCTTTAATATAAGTTATAATGTAGTTTATTTTAGTTTAAGTTTTTGTTTCTTTTCAATAATTCTTTCTGTAAATTTCATTGAAGCAGCCACCACTTTTGAGATAATGATGTCCTCAGGCCTTTCTCAGAAGAGAATGATGTAAGTGGACAGGTAGTTAAGTCTATTTATACAGAGAACTAAGTTAATAACAGTTAGATTCAATATACAAAGCAGATTATAAAACTCTTCATGGCTATGAGAACCAAGCTTAAAACGGCAAGCGACTTTACAAAAGAAAACTTATTCAAATCATTATCACATTTCTAGACTCCTATAATTTGAATATTTGCTACAACAAATATTTATAATATCACAAACTTCCTCTTTTAAAAGAATACAATCTTTCTATTCTTATCTTGACAAATATGCTTTACATCTAAAAAATCTTCTATTATTTCAATTTCTAAGGATAGAAAAGAAGTACACATTTATTTACTAAATAAATCTAAACTTTTATCAAATCATACTCTGCTACTTATATAGGATACTTATAAAATACCTCTCAAATCATATACTAACACACCAAGCTCTTTTTCTACTCCACTTTTCTATTTTAATGCTTCTTATACTACACAAAATTTAACTAATAATCCTATCTTCAACTCTCCAACTAATCTAACAATCGAACATATCTCAATTTCTATTAAAATTAGTTCATTAAATATCAATAGACTATCACAACCTAACAAAAAACTGTTTTTACTTGAAATACTTAATAATAAAACATTTGATATATTTAGACTTTTTGAAACTCATCTTTCAAAACAAGAAACAAAATATATTAATTCACTTACTAACAAATACTCTAGTTTCTGGAGCTCTTACAACAACTTACATCAAGCTGGAGTTGGAATTCTTATATATAAAAAAATCTTCAAATATATTGTACGCTTTCATAACTTTAATGATCATATTATAGGTCTTGACTTGCATTTTAAAAATACACCTATTAGAATACTTCAAATCTATATTTCTACATAAGAAAAGAAACAATTACAAATAGAAATCTTTGAACAAATTATTTTACTACTATAAAATACCTTCTACAAAATCATTATTCTAGGTAACTTTCAATCGATTCAATTAACTCTTTTCGCTGATCATCAAAACACAAATTTTCTGAAACACAAAATTAATAAAAACTATGAAAGACACAAAAAGCTACTAAGAAATGAATCTCGGAGCTCTAAGAAAAGAAGAAGAGGACTACAAGAAACACTCAGTCTCTTAGAAGACTTGAGTAAAAGGAACAGAAGT